GCCTCTGTAGTTCTCATACTTGCTGAGATCACCTTTCTTTTGTGTCTTGATCAGGTGTCCTTCTTTCTAGTCTGTTGGTATTTGTTCTTCCTCCCAAATCTTTTTGAAGAGAGGAAAGTATTTAAGGTATTCTGGAGTTCTTTTTTCATCAGACCCAGATAACTTCCTTTTGACCCATTTTAGGGATGATGGTAACGTTCTAGTTGGGGAAGTGCCTGAGCCGTGTAAAGAAGTTTAGAGTGCCCCGACATTGTGTAGTGATTTAATAGATTTCTCATATTTAAAATCGGTTCACTCCACGTATTCAACAGCTATCAGGGGATAAGTCTACTATCAATCGGGTTCAAACTTTTGGCTTCTGTCATACTTTGCATATTGTTCGAAACTCGGGAAAGACTGTCCCGCGAAGATCGGGCTGATTTTTGTTCTGTTTGAGAATGGACTGATCATATCTTTATCCCCTAAACGCTAGAACACAACCACACTTTCGCAAACCAATAATCGTTGTTTCTTGTTATCATGGCCTCTTTCGATTCTTTTGATATGACTGTTCACTAGGATTGTCTCTTGAATAAGGGTGTGCCTAAAACTTGTTAACATCTTGAAGGTCTTATATACAAACATGTCAAGCATACTAAGGGCATACAACTAGCTTTCTTCATCGTTCTATTCAAGCAGTGGGGCTAAACAAAGTTGTCCAATATTACTATTCCTCTTCGATTTCGCTATCGATGACGTTCTGGTGGTGTTCCAGTTTCAGCAGTTAGACTGGTTGAGATCTTAGCTTGAATCTGGCAACTGGACGTAATTCCATCCTCCTCGTCTTGATCACTGATTGTCCCATGTTTATAAGAAAGGATAAAAGTCCTCTTGTGACAATCACACAGGTATCAGTTTGACCGGTATAGCGTCTAAGATATTATCTTCCATAACACTTGGGTGCCTAACTAGAGGTCTTGAAGAGCAGACTCGAGAAATTCAGAGTGGTTTCAAACCTGAATGTGGATGTGTAGACCAGATATTCACAATTCGACAGGTGCTAGAACACAGACACATTCAGACGTCCGACAATATTGAGGCAACCATTGACTTAGTCTATCGAGAGGTTCGGTGGCAGTGTTTGTCGTTGTGAGCTGTCCTCGAGAATTTCAATCACATTGTACTGACTCTCAACTCAAACACTACTTGTCGGGTGAGTCCTTATGATGAACTGTCATCGGAATTGATCAATGAATTTGTGTTTGTCAGCGTTTTCCACTTTATCCTGATTTCACTTGGAGTTTTCAGGAGTTGAAACTTTATCGTAAGAGATACGTTTCTTGACTTAGAATATACGGATGATATCGTTGACAAAATTCAGAGTTTTAGTACCACCTAAAGCATCAATATCAGCTTATTCGGGATGCTCTTTCCAGCTTGAAATGCAAAGTGGTGTTTTCGAGATCGTCAGGTATATGACGAAATCACGCCGTCGATGCGGTATTTCAGATAGAAGTTCTTGCTTTTAATGTTTTTTAGAAAAATCATGAACGCTGCAGTACCGAAACAACCGGCTGAAAGAACTCAATACAATCACAAGGAAACTCTGAGTAATGTTTCTTTTTACGAATGTCCGAAAGTGGTTACATAATCATTCCAGGTCCTGTAAAAGGGAATTTGATTTGAAATTTGGGGTTAGAGTGGAAAATTAAAGATTTCATTAGGAACAAGCATCAACTACTTTGCCAATTTTCATTGGTTCTAGTTTCCGTCTACTATGATCACCATGACGAACTAATTACGTTCCCGACAAAGAGAACATAGTTGCTTGCGATTTCGTGGTTTGGAAAGTGAACCGAAATAGTGCCAGAAAATAGGGGCGAAATTACAGAAACAGTGGAGCCAAATGGCAGCAACAAAACAGAAAGTCTACGCTTTCTTTATAGTAAACAAAAAGTACAGTAAAACAGTCACTGGTACGATTGGTTATAAAGATGAATGTTTCTGGTAAACCATTCGCGTTCTCCTCATAATTTAGGCGTTACTACAAATGAATTCAGTCCTAAAATCGAAGATGTTCTATCTTGAATCTTATTATTGCGACCAAAGTACCTTTTGGCTGAGGTCTTCTTACCATACCTTTCTGCTCAACCGTTTTTTAACTCTGTCTTTCTTACTGAGTGGAATTGTTCAAATTTGAGGCTGGTGTCATTTATGATTACTGTGTATTGCACCATTTTTCGATTGTGGGTGTGTTGTGTACTACAAAATATATATTAAGGGCTTCAACCCAAAAAGTAGTAGTATCAATAACTTCTCAAGTTTTTCACGAAAAATTTAAAGTGTGTACGGATAAAATGCTTACTTATCATTGTTCATTAAGTCTTCAAAATGCTCCTAATCAACAAGAACCTCCAGTTTGACACTTAACAGAGAACTGGAAGACGTACTTAGTTTAAACTACTAAACATATCTGCTCTCAAGAATAACGATTTTCTAAAGTTCCTATTTTGATCGGTGAGATTTCGGAAGTTCACTGCTGCTAGATGATGTTTGCTTTCTCCAAATTTGCTTTCTCTAAATTTTGTCTGTAGATCTTTCAAGTTTGTAAAAAATACGAAGATCAAGCATTGCAACGTAACTGATGTCATTTGCTTATAGAAAATCTAACCCTAAAATGAAAACTGGATTTCGAACTCCAGCCTTTTACTAATACGTAACCCCACACATATTAAGTGGCATTTTGATGTCGACTGTTTTTTAACAACTTAGTGTTCTCTGAGTGCCTATCAGATCACTGATGGTGGGAAGCATCTTAACCCACTCAACTTCAAAGACAGCATTAATGTAGGAATAAAAAACCATTGGGATAAGATAGCCTTCCAGGAAGTTTCCGTTAAGCCAGTCAAACTGCTGGAAGTAGTACCCCATAAAGCATAATTCATGAAAATAAATTTAAAAAAATGACCAAATGAGTTTTTAAAAGGTTGAATTATAAGTACTCACCTACTACTAGCTAAATGTTATCAAGTTAACATAGATTCACAGTGGTTTTATTTGGCTCATGTACAAAGTTGCTAAAGGCAAATAGAAAACTAACTTAAGCTATTATATACAACATTTGCATAAAACACTTTTAATACGCTATGACTCTTACGAAGCAGGCTACCTAAGGTCGCTGACACGGGTAGCCGCCAGATATAATCTCTTGCTGCATTAGCCATTTGGGGCTTGGCCAAGTTCTGTTTCCGATTAACTATTGCTCCTAATTCCATGCTTGCGTTTATTAATAATAATTTTTACTGCTTTCTATTTTATATGTAAGTGCATTCCATAGGCTTACTGTGTCTTTCGCTGACCTTAATTCTTGTTCTTGCCTCTTCTGTATAACCTCGCACGCTACTTCTCCCACTTACCCAGCACACTAGGTACCTTCCAGTTAAACAGAAACTACCAGATACTAGAGTTACAGCTGAGTTATTTTCCATCAGTGATCTTGAGTGGTTGCTGATTTTTCGTCTAAACATGTACCGACACACGTGAAATGCGATCAGATGGTTTGCTTTGCAGATAACCTTGAAATAATTGATTTAGGGGTTGAAAATGAGGATTTTATTTCGGTTTTCGATTTCATAGAAAGATTTACATCCTCAACTGCACGCCGTCACTCGATCTCACCAGGGCAGTACTGTTATGACAATGCACCTCCATTCCCCCTATTTTGGTTGCTTGGCTAGAATATGAGCGAAAAAATTTGGTTTTACGATGTACAAACTCGTGTTGTTTTTGTCTCGGTTGCGGTCTGTCACCAATGGTGTGGCAGTCCATGATAAACAGTTTTTGATGTTGCATTAGTTTCATACGAGCCTTATGGATGCTTAGATTTAGTAGCACGTTCAGGAACTGTCATGGACTGTCAGTTAGGAGTGGCTAGTCGCTTTTTCCCTAGCTGTACATGAACAGGACCACTAGTTCGTTTTTCATGTCCTCTCACTTCAGTGATTAGTCTCTGGCTTGTGTCGGAAGTGAATACCATTTAGCAGGTGAAGTCTTCTTACCTTTATGACAGTGATTTATTGTTTTTGAGCGACTTAGATCAAGCTCACTAATTTTAACTGATGTTTATTAGTTCCATATGAGTTAGTACTGCTTTAAATTTATTTTGAATCGCACTTACCATTTGCTTGAACATATAAAGATATCGATAGCTTTGTCGACCAATGTGCCACTTCGGGGAGTAATAATGTGGATAAGCCAGTAGTGTTATTTCTACATAACTTAATCGCAGCGCAGATTGTCCAAATTATGATTTCTGCCAAAGAGCTCTTAGTGAATTTTCCACATAAGCAGTCTATCATCGTTTGGCTTCTTACAACCCTATTTCTGTTAAATGACGACATAGTGCTAAGTTCTTTGCTGTCTTGTATCACAATTCTGTAATTATTGGATTGCTTATATCTCCGTCCAAAGACCGACGTCTCTTTCGAAAATAGGAAAATTATTAGTTCAGCGTATGGAAAACAACTTGAAGTTTAAATTAAGTACATTTTTCCATATGATTTCTGTCCTTTCCATAACTAGTTTATTTTGTGTAACTGGTTAGCATCATAAATCTCAATAAATAAGATTCAAGGGAGAATAATTTGAATTAGACTGATTATCACAGGTTAGTTCGTGGTTGTCGAAAGCTCTTCATGTACATAAAAGTGCTCGGTTTTCTACAGCTTTTGCCACAGATCGCATAAGAGCCATGTTCAGCTACCTCTCAGAGAGTAAATATAATTCATAACGAGTCAACATGATTGTTATGGTTGTTACAGTAACAAATTCGCTTTCAATTTGTACTTAATTTCTAGTGTTTTATGCTTAAGTAAAACTTATTGTGGGCATTTTTACCAATTTGTAAATAAATTCAAGTATTTTATAACGAAGACCTGTCGCCCGTTTTTTGCAAACAACGCAGACGTGTCAATACAATAAAAACTACAATCTGTTAACCCTCAATTCAGCGAATGGAGCATGCACAATTCTAGTTGTAAACGGGTTGTAGTGGTTAATAATATGTGGTCATACTTTTAAAATCGTAAATCACATTGTTCACTTTACGGATAACTGCTTGGTTTCCTATTCTCTATGTCATTCTTAAAGGCAGAATCAACAAATAGCTGCACGTTGCCAAGCCTTCGAGATATCAAAAGACTCCAGTAGTACCATTCTTATTCTTATTTCTCCGTTGACAAATACTTCCTGCTATTATTTGCTGTGGCCGATCGTATCTTGATTTCATTCTGTGCTCAATTTAACTGTAATGTTTCGTGTGCTTATTTTGATTGCTACCGAAATGTGTACGTGCTAGTTCTTAGTTAATGAATTCTTTACTTAATAACTGTTCACTTACGCACTTTTTATTTCAGGTGTTCTATCAACAGTTTCTTATACCTTACGTGTAGTGTACAATCAGTCGTTTCTTTACTTAAGTAAATTACTTGACAGTCCTTTAATAACTGTAAAAGCTGGTACATATCAAAATGATGATTATTCGCTTGAGTGCCCACGGATGGTGCGTTCTGATTATCGGTATACTAGTTATCTTCCTGTACTATTTGTCGTCATTCAATCCTATCGGACAACTTAAAGGAGAAGTTATCAGTGTTCGAAGATTGTTAACGCGCTGCATACATCTTTCTGAGGAAGCTGGTGGTCTTATAAAATTTATAAATTTCAAGCACAACCTTAATTCACGTACTAAATACGGAGGTTTGCTGAAGCAAGAGCCTCTAACAGATGCGGATCTGGGATCTCATCAAATAATCGTGTCGGGTTTAACCTCGACTTTTCCAGAGCTACCGGTATGTCCTAAAGTGTGCATTTTGTATATCTTTACTGTAGTTCTTCGGTAGCTCCAAAAACCGTTTTTTATTTTTACCTACTCCTCTTACCAACAATGGAGCATTGACTGCCGACCAGTATTCTCCAACCTACTCTGTACCGGGCTTCCCTTTTCATTTCTGTCTAACTTTTGTTCATTCTTCGTATGTCTGTCTCCATTTCTCAGCGTAATATGATTCTTGGCCTTGCTCTTTTTCTGTAACCTCGAGAGTTTATAAGAAAGGATAAAAGTCCTCTTGTGACAATCACACAGGTATCAGTTTGACCGGTATAGCGTCTAAGATATTATCTTCCATAACACTTGGGTGCCTAACTAGAGGTCTTGAAGAGCAGACTCGAGAAATTCAGAGTGGTTTCAAACCTGAATGTGGATGTGTAGACCAGATATTCACAATTCGACAGGTGCTAGAACACAGACACATTCAGACGTCCGACAATATTGAGGCAACCATTGACTTAGTCTATCGAGAGGTTCGGTGGCAGTGTTTGTCGTTGTGAGCTGTCCTCGAGAATTTCAATCACATTGTACTGACTCTCAACTCAAACACTACTTGTCGGGTGAGTCCTTATGATGAACTGTCATCGGAATTGATCAATGAATTTGTGTTTGTCAGCGTTTTCCACTTTATCCTGATTTCACTTGGAGTTTTCAGGAGTTGAAACTTTATCGTAAGAGATACGTTTCTTGACTTAGAATATACGGATGATATCGTTGACAAAATTCAGAGTTTTAGTACCACCTAAAGCATCAATATCAGCTTATTCGGGATGCTCTTTCCAGCTTGAAATGCAAAGTGGTGTTTTCGAGATCGTCAGGTATATGACGAAATCTCGACGAGGGTGCGGAATGATCGACTGGCTTCCGTGATTTATCCGTCTGGTAACCGAAGGATGATTCTATTTTGCAGTAGGTCACGGCTCCCTTTTTTACAGGTGTAAGATATTCGTAGGTTACTAGTATTCCATTATAGGTGGTATCAGGAAGCGTGTGCTAGTTAAGGATTGCAATTTCGTTGCAGTTGGTAGTACGAGCAAACATACAAGACTAACTGTTTTCTGATAAAGTTGTTATTTTACCTCTCCAATTTTTGACATAATGATATCCACTAAATTATTTCTTAGACTGAAGATTACTTTGCGATATTTGCATTATTAATCTTTGATTATCATGTATGTACTAATATCACCCTATAGTTATTCTAAATCGTTTATGTTTTTCATACAGCAGTGTCATTAATTTCAAATTATTTTCAAATCCTAATAGATCCTACAGATCAATAATATCCCAACTTCTTTTTTCTTTAGGTTCGCTCCGAAGAGCATGAATTGCCAACACACCATCTAACTGATTATGAAGAAAGTGTTTTTCATTCAGATTTTCAGAGTTCTCTTCCTAATGATGATCTCTTTGTTCCTGTTACAGATTTGGTAGTATGGGTCGATCCTCTTGATGGGACTCAAGAATATACAGGTAATTTAATTCCTTTATAAATTTTACTATGTAAAAAGTTAGACTTCATTTTGTGGCGAAATATCTCCTCGATGCTGTTACAGAATGATTTACTTTCAACTCAACATAATGGCTGAAAGCTTGTTTCATGTCACTCCATATATTACATCCAAGTAAAATATATTGTCTACTGATTACTGAACTGTCATTCTACTTAGCCTGTTACGCCTAATAAAACATAGACTATCAACCAGGATTCTCCAACCAACTTTTCCCTGGTCTCTCCTTTCCAGTTCTACCCGATTGTTATTCTTTTTATATTTTTCTCTAATTCTTGGCTCAGTATGCTCCTTGGTCTACCTCTTTCCCTTTGGCTTTGAAAGTCCCAAGTTAGGGCTTGTCTCATTACGCTAATGCGTTGAATTTCTCAATGTGCCCTATCCACTCCTAGCGCTTTTTACAAATTTCTTCCTTAGCTGCGAGCTGTTATACTTTTTTCCCACAGAAGATTGTTCCGGATTGTATCTGGCCAACGAATTTGGAGCATCTTGCGTAGAAAACTGTTAACAGACGCCTGTCGAGCAGATCTTGACGTCTGCATTAAAAATCCTGACTTTTGTGTTGACTGATAGTTGCTTTGAGTTTCAGGTTTTCTTTACTTGTAGAAAACTTCCTTTTGCCAGACTATGTCTTTATATCTGCGTCGGATCCACCTTGACTTTAATGACGCTGCCCAGGTATGTGGTAGTTGCTACATCTTCCAAGGCTTCTCCATCGAGTATGATTTGGTTGGTGCATGTTGTGTTGTATCGGAGGCCTTGCTTTTTCCATGACGAATACGTTGTTCCGAAAATTTCTTAAATGGTTGCAAAATCATATTCAGTAGTAACTGAAATACATACTGTATTTATTTCCTCAGTAATATTATACAATATGTTGTCAGATATCAAAGTTACTAAGTACAGTTTGCGGTAATAATAAGTGGAATATTATGAGATATTTATTCTCGATTTAACCATCCCTTTATCATAGTTTTTAAAGACACTAGTAATAAGTAATTTCACTATAGTAGAAGTTCTCTGAATAAAGTATATTTATTGGTCAACAAATCTTTCAGTCAGTCAGTCAGTTACAATGTAGAACTTCATACTTAAGTACATCAGTTCAGGCTGCCATACCACTATAGCACAGAGACGCAATTGTCAGTTCAAATCCCATAGTGGTAGAGATAGTAGAAAGGTTAAAAATAATCGGAAATTTCAAGGTTTGACGATATTATTCAAGAGGTAGGATCTAGTGAAATAAACGTAAGACGAGAAAGATAAAGGTGATGAGGAATTCAGAAGATTAAGATTGATAAGAATGAATAGAAAGAATAAATGCACCTGCACCATCGCAAACAGTTTTAAGACATGTCATTCAGGGTCTCCAACCATCGATTTATCTACCATCCTGAGGGCCCCAACTAGCTAGTCTAAACTTACCAACATGGCTCAGTCCGGTAGTGAGTGACTTAATTGATTTCTGCCATGTTTTGGTCTGGCCGCCCCTAGCTTTCCTCCAACCTACTCCTATACTACAAAACATAGCTCGTCGAGACAGTCGGTGGTTAGGCATTCATGTATTAAGACGGAGCGAACTGCTACGCAGTAGACCCGTCCTTTGGTTAGCAAACGGATATCTCGCCTACTCCACAAGTGACGCAAATCGGTAGGAGCTAATTGAGCCTTCTGCATCCTTGTTGAGATTTCGTTACACAGCAGGTCATCAGCACTGATGAGACTCCCGAGATGAGTGAAGCGGTCGACACGCTCAACTGCTTCACTCCCTATCATTAGTTCAGGTGCCGACGTAAGCCAATCGTGAAGCAATATTTCGCATTTAGACAGGCAAAATTTCATGTCGAACATGCTTGCATTGTTGCTTAGGGTAGTCAGAAGACTGCATTTTGTTAACGTCTTCACCGAATAAAACCAGGTCATCAGCATGCTCTAGGTCAGAAAGCGTGTCTTTTGGTAGAAGGTCCACCCATGAAAAGTCAGACGAAGATAATGCTACCTCTAAATATATGTCTATGGCAATATTAAACAAGAATGGAGAAAGTTGACAGCCAGTTCTGCCTCAGGAACCTGCCTGGCATGGTAGGACCTATGGGAACATATGTTCCAGCAAATATAGCTCGGTTTGGTTATCACGATAGGCAAGCCCGACCACCATGACAAGGTAGCAGCTATGGTCGGTTACAAATCTTTACAGCGAACCAATGGTTATTATTGGAAATCATACTGCTTTCTTTATTGCTATAATTCTTAAATAAGCATACTTCAATCTATTTAATGTTGGCACATCATTTTCTTTTCTCTACATCGTTATTTTCTTAATATATTTAGTGAATACATGTAACGTATCTGTTTCTCATTGTTCATTTTGCTTTATTTCTGAATCTGCGGTGATAGAAGGCTTACATGAATACGTTAGCGTCATGATATGTATTGTTCTTCATGATCGCCCAATAGCTGGTATTATCCACCAACCCTTTTCTAATAAGACGTGTAAGTTTTGGTTTGGTATCACGTAAATTTTTCTGGGTTTTGTTTTCTATGATTTATTGGGACGAAATTTATTTATCTAGAGTTGATGATAAGTTGACTGATTGTTCTCCGTAAGACCAAATTTCCATCATTGTTGGTTTTTATTTGGTTGTTTTCTAGTTAAGTCAAGTTACTGTGAGCTATCAGGGCACGTTTTTAGATTATTCTTTATCAATTTAAAATTAGATGGACGAGGCAGTTTAGTGATTAAAAAATGAAATTAAACATCGCTATTTAGTCCATTCCTAGCTTTGTGAAAATATGAATATGTGCTTCAAACTTCTGAAATCCAGCATTATAGTCTTGTTGTTAAACACAGACAAATATCCATTTCGAGAAGACTCTGTAACTATATATTTGCCTAAAACTGAATCCTAGACTTCTTTTTCACCAGTACTGTACCTAAAAACTTTAAAGTAGATCAAAGTGCAATATTCCTGATTTATTATACTGAGCTGTTAATTGTCCTATATAACGACTAACTGTATTATCCTAGTGTTCAAAATACTGTGGATAACTTTGATTTAGACCCATAACTTAGCGTCGATATTCAAACATTTAGACCTGTAATTAAAAGTTCGAAAATATGTGGAACTTTTGTAATAACCTTTTTTCCGTTATCTAACATTAACAAGGAACACCAGTGTACAACTCCTTCCAACAGTTCATATTAGTGCACGTGAAATAATAGATCTGATATAATTATTTCAACTGAATAACCGCATTCTTGTCCATTGATTATCTGGAAGCCACGATTAATACATAACTACTAACAATACCTCCCGGTTGTTTAGAGTTTGGTAGATGAACTAATCAGGAAAAGAAGTTATAAGTTTGTTTAGCAAATTAGAAAAGCTCTTGATTGATAGATGTTTGTCTTCATGACATTTATAAACTACATCTCTATATCATATTTTACTTAAGCGGACTATGTTGTCTATCATTACTGACGAATTTGTCCTCTTGTGTATAGTAACTCATGTACCTGGCTTTGAGTCACATTCTAAAGGGTTTGTTGATACTCTCCAGTTACCCAAATCAAAGTAAGTAATCGAACTCGAATCCATGATTAATTGTCTAAACATTGATTGTATATCCAATGAACCACAGCTCCTTTTGTCTAGTTATTGTTAATGTTTGTTGGTGGCTGGTAAATTGGAAAGTAATGAGTCATCTCTTCCTACTTTCTATTCATATGATTGCGTCTGGTAGATGATATTCGCCGCACTATATAGTCTGACTCTGTTATATTCGCTATTTTAGGATACTTAACTTTGTGTTCGAAAAAACCCGTTAAATAGATTGACGCTTCTGTTTTATAGTAGTTCATAATTACAACGCGATGTAAATCTGTTGACAACTAGACACCTATGAGTCTCTTCAGAAAGATTTATTAATCGAGTAACTGTCTTTTGTATGCTAATTATGTAGTTTCAGTGAAAAATCAAAAATTCATCATCAGACTTTCGTTCTTTGACTGTTAGTTTACAATCAGTTTCGCCATATTCACGTCGCTTTGGAATGTTAATGACAGCATTATTTACACTTTTAGTTCAGTGAATTGAGTTTATTAAGTGGTCCAACGAAATCAGATTTGTTCGAGTGAATTTAAAAACCCTTAGATACTTGGACAGAAGTATTATAGCCTCAGTACTGTAATATCAAAACAATAAGAAAACGTGTAATAGTTTTTCATCAGTTCGCATCCTTCAAAACACTAAGAAACATGTGATATGATTGTTCTAAGTGCATACACTTTCAAAGGTAAGTTACTAGTCATTTTTAAAAAAAAATAAAAAAGCTCACTGATTTCTTTCCTAGAGAAATACAGAAATTGTATTGCAAAATTGTCTCACTATAGATTGGGGTTGGGGTTCGTATGCCATGTCGTCTGATTTACGAACAGCTATGATTTCTCGTCCTGTTCATCTGTCAAAAAACGATTTGTCAATTACTTATTCACGTTCCCATTTAAATGAATCGCTCCTGAAAGACTTGACCAAACTTGTGTCTCCCAAACCGATTCACTTTATACCAGCAGGTGGTGCGGGTAAGTAGTAATTCAACATTTCCTAATACATGAATTGACTATAATAATTTTGTATATATATATATATATATATATATATATAGTAAATATTTCTCCAAATTGTATTGAAGCAGATCATGGAGAAACAACAATTTACGATTTGTAGACTTATCGTCACTCATTTATAAAGTAAAAACTAATAACACATTAAAACACCAAGCTTTTTACACAAAACGTAATGTTAATTTTGGAAAAAGGCGTTAACGTTAATGAATGTAGTTAAACAAAGAAGATCATATAAATTTTAACTCTTTCGAAAGTACATATAATTATTTTACGGAAGCGCAGTAGAAAATTGTATTAGTATTTCTGTCGGTTTCTATTTTGAAGCGCTCTTGATAGCATTCCAAGCCATCTTGTTAGTTGTCAATTTGACCGTGTCCATATATTCATAATCTGCTAGATATGAACTTAATTCAGTCATATATATTTTATCCACGCAGTCTGAGCGTTTGATTATATGCAGGTTGATTTTCTCCAAAAATTCTGTCATTACTCCAAAAATTTTCCATTAAAGTACACTACTCAATAGTGTGGTGTTCAAGCATCTAGTACAGTCAGTCAGATGCAACGTAGAACTTCGTACGTAAGTACATCAGTTCATGTTGCCATACCACATCAGCACAGACATGTAATTGTCAATTCAAATCCAAAAGTAGTAGAGGTAGTAAAGGTATTAGAAGTAATCGGAGAGGTTAGGATTAGAAGATATTATTCAAGAAGTATGATTCAGTGACATAACTTTAGAAAGTCAAAACTAGAGGTGTTGAAGAATCCAGAAGACTAGGATTTGAGAGAATACAAAGAATAAATGCACCGGCGCCATCGCGAACGATTTTGAGCCATGTCATTCAAGGTCTCTAACCATCGACTATTATCATCTCGCGGACCCCAACCAAGGTAGTCGACAATTACCGACATGGCTAAGTCCACTCGTCAATTACTTCATGGATTTGTGCCATGCTTGGTCTGGCCACCCCTAACTTTCTTCCAACCTACTCCTACATCACAAAACAAGGCATTCGGTGGTTAGGCATACGCAGCACATGTCCCAACCACCTCAACTGATGAAGTTTCATCACTTCATCTATTGATCTGGCATTCTTACCTAGCACCCGATTCCTAATAACAGCGTTGCTCACTCGGGTGTCCCACGATATACGAGCAATGCTTCGAAGACACCTATGATCGAAAACAAGTAACCTACGAATATCTTCTACTCTCACTGGCCATGTTTCACAGCCACAAAGTAAGACGGAGCGAACTACTGCGCAGTACACTCGTCCTTTAGTCAGCGACCGGATATCTGGCCTTGCTACAGCTGGTCTACTGAAACCTCGTTCGAAACTACATTCTGTAGCGTTTGATGTCTACACTCCATATCATATCGTCATAAGCCACCGTCGGAGGTTCGATAGAAGACTGACGCCCACTTTGAAGCACGTATCAACTCAGATCATGCCACGGTATAAACACTCACTTGTTAATACATTACTGGATATAGAAAAAACAGCTAGAAAACCATTAACTTAATGATAATGTCCTGAACTTATGTACATACGTACGAAGTTCTAACTTGCAACTGACTGACTGACTAATGATGAAAAAATCGATAAATTACTCAAAAACTGTAAATTCAACCAGTAAACCATGTAGGTGATACCCATCCATTGTAATACGACAATTTCTCATTTTATTCATGTCTTTTATCCTTGTATTATACTAACCAATATTACTCTTTTATCAACATATTGAAGTTATTTAACTGGTAATCCAAGATTATAAACATACGTATATAAGAATTCGGAACTTTTTCTCCACCCCAATATAGCTTGACCTGACATCTACACAGATGTGAGGATGACAGTGATATCTATCAGTAACTTAAACTAGAAACGGAAGAGACATCAATGAATTTGGGCAGCATCTACTTTACTGATGGATGCCTGAAAACTCGTCTCCTCTGGCTCAGAACACGATGAGGAGCACGGGTAGCTTCAACGCAACCTGACGAAAAATACTGGGAAATCAACGTAGGCAACGAAAGCGAAATCGATAGGAAAACCAGCGATCATTGGTAACAGTAAAAGTATCAAGGAAACAATGCTGTTCACTTCACTTATTTCCGTCTAACTTTGTTATAGACATAATTTTAGAGATAACTCTCTCATCTGATTTCTCGGAGTTGGATATTTTACTAGGAAATCCACTTGCTGACTTGTGCTGTGCAAATGATAAAGTTCCGTTTGGTGAAGACCCTTACAAAGTGCTGTTCCTGATTACTTTAGGTAACAGCCTGAGCATGTTAATGATGCGGTTCTCTCCCTCTATACGTTTGTCGTGATCCACAACTGGTTTGTCTCAGTGTCTGCATTAGTGACAAGTGAACTAGTTAGGCGTATCGACCGTCCCGCTTATCTTGTAAGTCTCGTCAGTGCCAATCGCCAGGCGTCTGACGAAGCCTGGGCACAGATTCAGAGGTTCTGTTGGCTTTTGCCAATCGAGATATCTGTCTACTAACCAAAGGACGAGTTTATCGTACAACAGTTTGCTCCATTCTACTTTATGGGTGTTTAACATGGTCATCAAGAGTAGAGGACGTTCGTGGGTTACCGGTATTCGATCATATGTGTAATCGAAGCATTTTAAGGCCATCGAGTCTGTAATGCTGTTTTTAACCATGCGATACTGGGTAAAGATGGCAAGGTGGTGGGTGATACAGTAAAACCTTGTCATTTGAGGTCACCCGTATGTAGTAAGTGTGTCTAACCACTGCGCGATTTGACGCACGATGTTGTCAAGTGTAGGAATAGGCTGTAATAACGCAATGTTAAGTTGCCAAACCCACCTCTGAAGAGAAATGCTGACCAGAAGTCATTTATAACCACCCGAACTTTGACCCAAGAATTGTAAGGTTTTTATATAAAAGAGCTATGGCATTTTGTGATGAAGGCGTCAAGTCTTTTTGAGACAGCCTGTCTCCTCTGACAACTGACGTAGCACCATTGACATATGAGATGTACGGAAAATGTAGGAAGGTCAACCAAACACCGGCAGAATTGCAAAAATGCAACCTGGCGATCTCGGGAATGGGTGAAAACCATTGGATAGGAAAGACTGACTATGAGAGGGCTGTAACCGTATTCGGCCCGTACATACACTCGCGTCATATACTACTTATAAGTAGCGCGCACCACACTAGAAGTTTCTTTAATCATAATCAGTAAACAGAAAATGTTCTTGTTTAATGTTATCATAGATATGCTCCTAGAAATAAGCTTATCCTCGTCTGAATTTTCAGGAGTAGACCTACCAGGTGGCTCGCTTGTTGACTTAGAATATGACGATGACGTAGTTCTACTTGGTGAAGACGCTGACAAAATGCAGAGTCTTCTGACTACCCTAAGCAACAATGCAAGCATGTTCGGGATGCGGTTTTCCCGCTCGTAATGCAAAATTTGGCTTCAAGATTGGGTTGTATCGGCACCTGAATTAGTGATAGAGAGTGGAGTAGTCGAGCGTGTAGACCGCTGAAGACTTTAGGGACTTGTTCATTTGGTCTTCAACCACACTTCATTTGCCCACGATTACCAGCCATCCTGAATGGCAGATCAATTTAAGTCCTCCTTGTCTGCACGAAGTTGAGAAAGCTATAGGGAATCTAAAGGGAGGTAGAGCAGCAGGTCCTGATATGCTTACCCCTGAAATGTTTAAGGATGGTGGTCCAGTTTTAATAGTTAGACTGACCGAGATCTTATGTAGATTCTGGGAACTTGACGTAATCCTACCTGACTAGTCTCAATCCCTGATTGTCCCAATATTTATCAAAGGACAAAGGTTTCCTAGCAACAATCACAGGAAAAATCAGTCTGACTTATTTAGTTTCTACACTGTTAGCCTCGATTATCCTAATACCCTTGACTAAAGCTCGTGAAGAGCAAACTCAAGAAAACTGGAATTGTGTGAAATCTAGACATGGATGTATAGACCAGATGTTGACACTACGTCAGGTCGTAGAACAGACACGTTCAGATGTCTAACAATAGTTGTCTTCCTGGCCATAAAGACGGTATTTAACTCCTTCGATCGTGAGTTTCTGTGGCAGTGCCTGTCATTAAAAGGTGAACCAAAGAAGTACATTAACCTTTCACAAGCTCTCTACTCGAACACCGCTGGTCGAGTGAGAACATATGGCGAACTGTCATCGGAATTCTTTACTTCAAGTGGTGTCCGTCTGGGCTGTCCAGTCTCTCTGTCCTTCTTTATATGCTTTTAGAGGTAACTTTGTCTTCGTCTGACTCTTCAGGAGTAGACCTTCTACCAGCATACTCGCTTGTCGGCTTGGTATATGCCGATAACTTAGTTTTACTTGGAGAAGTCTCTGACAAAATGCAGAGTCTTCTGACTACCCTAAGCTACAATTCAAGCATTTTCGAGATGCGGTTCTCCCTCTTGAAATGCAGATTGTTGCTTCAGGATTATCTTGCTACGGCACCTGACTTAGTAATAAGGAGTGGAACAGTTGCTTGTATCGACCACTTCACTTACCTTGAGAGTCCCATCAGCACTGCTGGCCTGGTGACTGACGAAATCTCGACATGGATACAGAAGGCTCGTTTGGCTTTTGCCAATTCGCGTCACTTATGGCGTAGGCCAGATCTCTGTTTGCTAACCAAAGGATCAGTCTACTGCGCAGTAGTTCACTTCGTTTTACAATATGGAATCGAAATATAGCCAGTTAGGGTAGAAGATATCCGTAGGCTACTAATATTCGACTATAGATGTCTTAGATGCACCGATTGTGTATTCTGGGACAACCGAATAAGCAATGCTTTCGTTAGGAAACGAGTACTAGGTAGGGATGACAGATCAATTGATGAAGTATTTAAACTTCATCAGTTGAGGTCCGTGAGATGATAATAATCGATGATTAGAGCCCCTGAATGATATAGCGCAAAACCGTTTGCGATGGCGCTGGTGCATTATCTTTGTGTTCTCTCAAATCCAAAGCTTAGTTTCTCATCGCTTTTTCTTTTTAAGTTTATTTCACTAGATGCTATTTCTTGAATAATATCTTTGAACCCTAATCTCTCCGATTACTGCTTATACTTTTACTACCTCTGCTTCTACGGGATTTGAATAGACAATTCCATTTCTCTCTGTGCTCATGTGGTTTGGCCACATGAACTGATGTAGGTACGTACGAAGTTGTACGTTGCTGTTGATTGATTGACTGATGATGGCGTTTTAATTCTTTTCATTTCTTACTAATTTCCTTTTTAATTCACTTTTAAACTAGGTCTCTCTACATTTGCGTTATGTTATCCTTAAATTTAAACTGACTCAAAGCTACTTGATTTACCAAATTATAATTTACAAGGGCTTGATTGTGCAGATTCAAATGTTTTTAATTTGGACAGCTCTGTCTGTTTTGTTTGTGATCAATTAGTTATGTTAGTACTTATACTTTAGCTAAATTGACGTTAACGTTGGATATCTCAATGTCTTTGTTGAATAACTGAGTATAATTTTTTCCAAATTTTAACGTAATCGGTTTATTGTATGATCGTCAAACGTCAAATCAACACATTTCCACGGCCATTTGACTTTGTGAATTTCGAGTACATAATTCAGGTCTGTTATGTTAATTTTAGTGTATGTAACACAATATCAGATAATATTCGAATCGCATGTTTTTTCGCACAGGTTTTAAGGCTATCAGCCTTATTAAAGGAAGCGCCGACGTGTATATCCACCCGTCAACGACACGCCGGTGGGATGTTTGTGCTGCACAAGCAGTTTTAGAATCTGTTGGTGGTCGTCTTACGGGACTTGATGGCTCACCTCTTGGGTTTGGTTTGAAATCTTCTCCAGGTATACCAAGCAATGTTGGCCTCTTCGCCGCTGCAGACCGTACAATCTATGATATGTGGCTTAATAAGATCTCCGACTTTTTCAAAACCTCAAGTTGATTTTCCTTTCGAAATATAATATTCTTATTTTCTTCATATCCTTCCTATTGGTGAACTCATGTACTGAGTAGCACTAACTGTATAAACCTAATACGAAATTATTATAGTGAGCTTGATCACCTCTCTCTCTCATCAACTCACGTGTTCAACATTGACTCTCTACTAAGATGATAAATTTTTAATATATTTCTAATACGTCAATTTCTCATTGTCATTCATGTTTTTTATCCTTGTATTATACTAACCAATATTACTCTTTTATCAACATATTGAAGTTATTTAACTGGTAATCCAAGATTATAAACATACGTATATAAGAATTCGGAACTTTTTCTCCACCCCAATATAGCTTGACCTGACATCTACACAGATGTGAGGATGACAGTGATATCTATCAGTAACTTAAACTAGAAACGGAAGAGACATCAATGAATTTGGGCAGCATCTACTTTACTGATGGATGCCTGAAAACTCGTCTCCTCTGGCTCAGAACACGATGAGGAGCACGGGTAGCTTCAACGCAACCTGACGAAAAATACTGGGAAATCAACGTAGGCAACGAAAGCGAAATCGATAGGAAAACCAGCGATCATTGGTAACAGTAAAAGTATCAAGGAAACAATGCTGTTCACTTCACTTATTTCCGTCTAACTTTGTTATAGACATAATTTTAGAGATAACTCTCTCATCTGATTTCTCGGAGTTGGATATTTTACTAGGAAATCCACTTGCTGACTTGTGCTGTGCAAATGATAAAGTTCCGTTTGGTGAAGACCCTTACAAAGTGCTGTTCCTGATTACTTTAGGTAACAGCCTGAGCATGTTAATGATGCGGTTCTCTCCCTCTATACGTTTGTCGTGATCCACAACTGGTTTGTCTCAGTGTCTGCATTAGTGACAAGTGAACTAGTTAGGCGTATCGACCGTCCCGCTTATCTTGTAAGTCTCGTCAGTGCCAATCGCCAGGCGTCTGACGAAGCCTGGGCACAGATTCAGAGGTTCTGTTGGCTTTTGCCAATCGAGATATCTGTCTACTAACCAAAGGACGAGTTTATCGTACAACAGTTTGCTCCATTCTACTTTATGGGTGTTTAACATGGTCATCAAGAGTAGAGGACGTTCGTGGGTTACCGGTATTCGATCATATGTGTAATCGAAGCATTTTAAGGCCATCGAGTCTGTAATGCTGTTTTTAACCATGCGATACTGGGTAAAGATGGCAAGGTGGTGGGTGATACAGTAAAACCTTGTCATTTGAGGTCACCCGTATGTAGTAAGTGTGTCTAACCACTGCGCGATTTGACGCACGATGTTGTCAAGTGTAGGAATAGGCTGTAATAACGCAATGTTAAGTTGCCAAACCCACCTCTGAAGAGAAATGCTGACCAGAAGTCATTTATAACCACCCGAACTTTGACCCAAGAATTGTAAGGTTTTTATATAAAAGAGCTATGGCATTTTGTGATGAAGGCGTCAAGTCTTTTTGTGACAAAATGCCAATCTCTTCCAACAATCAAACTAACTGTCGATCAAGTTTGAATGTCTTTTCGTGACTAGGAATTACGTCAAAATATCATTCGTAAAGCTTTCGCAAAGTTTTCGTCCTGCATCGATTCGTTTGAAAACATAAGGACTGGTAAATAACTCTCGACTGTGAGTGACCTGATGAGGCTAAATTCGTGTTGACACTGATGGCATTGTTAGCAGATGGTCATTAAACGTTATCTGATCTACGGAAATCGCTGCTCCTTGGTGTGAAAAACTCGCCTGGCTGATACAAGTTCCGCTGCGGAACATTTGATATCTGTCTTTACGCTCGTCCTGATACCTAAGTGGATGACCGGAAATTTTTTCGTATCAGTTGTTGTTTTTTTGCTTGAAGAGCACCTTTGAGGTATTGAATAGCTTCTCTAGCAAGCCGCCGAGTTAGCGAGGAGAATAATTCAGGCCCGAATTGTTGTTTCCGGTCAGTTGTGACAATGGAGGATCAGCCGTACAGCGCTACCAATCGTTCTACGAAGAAACCGTCTCTTCCGTTATGGACGTGATGGGACTAGCTTCGGGCAATCTTTTGAAGGGATCGATGCACGTGAGTATGTGGTCACAACCTTGCGATGGTGAAAATGGTCCCAAAAGGTCTATGTGAACGTGGTATAACCGAGCATCAGGCGTGGCAAACACGCCAGTAGAAGCAGCTACGTGCTTGTGCACTTTTGATCGTTGACATTGTGAGCAGTACTTCACATACGTACTGACATTTTTATTAATAGACGACTAGACGTACCATGCAGAAATAAGGTTTAATGTGGCTGCGATATCTGGATGAGACAGTCCATGAAGTTCATCAAAAAAGAGACGACGTTATGCAGAGGACGCGATTGGTCGAGGTAGATCAGTAGATGTACCACACAGGATAGTATCTGTGTGGCTACGGGCACTTCCTGACATTTAAGGGGTGTAGAATATGCTACCTCCTGCAAGAGAAATCGCGTGCTTGTGCGGCAGCCTTGCCGGGGAGATCGAGCACCAGAAAAGTAACTGCATTTATTTGGGTAAATAACGGCGTCTGCAACATATTTCGACTTGCCTATATTATGACCAAGGTCTACCGTGAACTGGGAGATATAGTCTAAATGTCTGCACTCTCGTAATGAATAACGATCCTACTTGGTTGGCAGAGCATATGTTAAAACTTTGTGGTCGGGTGTTTCGCGACCTACTGAATGCCAGAAATGTATGATGGCGCTGTAAGCTGCTAGCAGTTCTCGACCGAAATTGCTGTGTCCTATCTCCATGGGAGTGAGGCGTCGTGAGAAAAAAACAAGAGATTGCCAAATTCCATGAATTTTCTGTTACATTACAGCTCTTGTAGCGAAATTGGATGCATCAACCGCTATACTAAGCGTGGCTGGTGGCGTCAGAATGATCGAGGAGCGTTGCTTGAGCCAAGGCTGTTTTGATCTCTTTGTGCCATCACTCAATTCTAATTTACGTGGGTTAGTGGCCGTAACCGTTCTGCTCCAGGTGGGATTAACGTCGGCGAAAGTTAATCAGACCGAAGAATGCCTTGAGTGTGGATGATAAATTGTACTTCTCGTAGTTTGTCCTGACAAGGTAAACAAACCCTTTTGCTTTTATAATGGCCTAAGAATTTTATTTCTGATTTCCCAGGTTCACGCTTGTCCGGATTGACTGTTGTTCCATTATCGGAAATACGCTGCAATAGCAATGCTGGTAGTGTTTATCTACGTTTGATAGAATTTTCACGATATCCTCAAGAGCTCGTGCCAGATCGATCTCAGAAAAGATAGTTGTGATGTCGTGTATGTGGGGAATGGGGAAGCTATCTAAGCGTGCTCTGTAGTCGCCGCATGGTCTCCAACTAACATCATCCTTCTTGCTAACCATTTGTAGAGGCGAGGCCCCGGGACTGTGATAAGGACGAATAATACATGCAGCTAGTGAGCTGTCAAATTCACGCTTAGTGAAAACTGATTTGTCCGAAGCTAGTCGGCAAGGTTTTGCCGTGAGTAGTCACCGGAAGGATCTCCTTGAGAGGTTTAATTAGCTGGAGAAGTTTACCGAATAAAACGTGAAGTACACCATCACACCAACGAAATACGTCAGTATTTTGGTGCACATCTGTTTGAGCTTTAAATTCCAGGTTGACCATTTTCCGTATTGCACCACAGGCAGGGAGCGGTAGCTTGAGACTTGCTGCCACCAGACGATACGGCAGAAACTTTGGCACCTCTATCCACTAAGTACCTAGCGTTAGAGCAATAATCGTGTACGTATTGTGAGCGGCCAACCTGAGGTGAGGGGCTGGCGGGTAAACACGGCCGCACTCACCGGCACCGGAGTTTCTTGCCTTGTGTGATTATGGAGCTAGACAAAGACGGGCAACGGACCCGAAGGAACGGTAAAGCCAGCAAGGAACATTGAACAATTCTGTATCCGCCTTTTGGTGTGGCTTGGAAGGTGCTCGCTTGTAGCGGAAGGTTACAGATCTACGTGACTGTCTTTAACTCGAAGGACTTGGAGTTGTGGAATGATGAAACGATCTCAAAACTTGACAGGACTATGAATTCAACAACCTCGACCCCATATTCGGATGTTCAATGATACTGTTCTTAATCAAGTGCCTGATTCTACATGGCTGACTGTGCACGCCCATGATTGTAAAATACTGGTTGGATGCATATATCGAGCTCCAAACACTCATCGATCGGTTGACGTTGCTATTGGTGAGTTGTTTGCCAGGGCTGTCTGTCTTAAATTCACCTGCAAAATTATTTGTGGTGACTTCAACCTCCCCGGAATCAACTGGCAGACACATTCTGGTCCACTACGCTTTGACAGCTTACTTGGTCCCTTAGACACACATGGTTGGCAACAACATGTGCACCTGCCTACTAGAAACCACAACATTCTCGATTTGGTATTTTGTCACGATGTCACCCCAACATCTGTGGCTGTCTGCGAAAAGTTTCACAACAGTGACCATAAAATTGTCCTCTGTACCCTTCCGTTTTTTGCTAAATGTAACAAATCTAAAACAGTAAACCGTTTTCAATGCAGAGACTATGAACATGCTGACTGGGACAGCTTTCGCTTTCTAATTCAACACTCCGACTGGACCGCGTTTTTTGTCTTGAACTTCCTGATGCATTACATATATTCAATGTCACCATTAAATCTGCTCTAGACACTACTATCCCACTCAAAACGTCTTTCAAAACAGTTACTTCTTATATCACCTATAAAGATAGGGCTAACCTCCATCAACTAAAACGAGCATATTCCAAATCTAAGGACTTCAGCATCCTGTACCAAATTTACGCTATGCTTGTAGGTGTAAAATATCAATATGAAGTGCGTAAGCAAATCGAAGAAAATAATGCTCTCGCTACTGCGTGTAAGTCCCAAAACCTCTGTCGTTTGTTTAACAAACGCATAAAACAGACTCAGATCGCAAAATTCATTCCATACTACAAGATGGACAGACTTATTATGACGAAGTTGTTATTTGCGAACTGTTTAGTACATGGTACTCCCTCAATCTGAACATATCTCCTACCCTTGATACTAACATTAACTGTAGCGGTATGCATAATCTTTGTACCATCAAATTTGATCTTAACAATATTCAAGCCACAATTAAAACCCTCAAACCCAATGGCAGCTGTGGTGCGGATGAGGTACCTTCCATACTTTTTAAAATGGCAGGACCGAACCTTCCAGCGCTTTTGCTTAAAATTTTTACCTTATCCCTTGAGTCTGGTACATACGCCGAATCGTGGAGGTTGACTCATATTGT